GTTGCCTTCATCAGGACCAAATAGGGCGCTGTGGGAGGTTCTCCGACCTGCGCGCGAGAGGCTCACCCGGAACAACTGCAAGGCTTGAGAGTCCCTTCGCAGACCTGAAAGCCGTTGAAGACAGTCGGGCGGGCGCACGGGGTCAGAGCACCAGATCTGAAGAGACGCTTGCACGCTGCCGTTCCGGACGGGCTTCTTGCCCTGCTCTGTGTTGCTTGGCATGGTGGATCTGTGTGAGCAGTTGACTGCCCTCTTAGATTGGGTCAGGGAGATCAGGTAAACCACTCACTGCCTGCCGGCTGCCTCTCACCGAGCCCCAGAGGCTGGCCCAGGGACAGTGGCCCGGGGGCAGACACCTTCTCATTTGTACAGTGCACTTTTCTTCGAGACGGTTATTCCTACTCTCCCGAGTAAAGTCAGACTCAGAAGGTCAAGCTCCTCCGAGATCTTAAGGTTAGTGGTAATGAAGTCTCATGTGTTCTCAAGTCATGAGCTTAGACTGTTTCGGGGACCGCCGGGAAGCGTGAGACTGCGCCACACCGTCACACGGAGCAGAATCTTCGTCACTGGATAAAGAAAGATGAGCGGTTTTGAGTCCATGGTGCCAGTGGCAATTCCACCCTTCCCTCTGCTGTGAGAAAGCACAGGGTCCATACCAGGCGTACACGTGCAGGTTAACAGTCCATCCCGGCTTCAGCTCCTGGCAACCATGAAGAACTACTACGCACTGACTCAGGCCAGTCTCAAATAAGACATCTCTCACAGTGGCCGCAGGCCAAGATGATCCGGGCAGTCCTTTAGTTGGAAGTTCCCGCTTTCCTGGTGACTCTGACAATGGGAAGCAAGCAGCTCTCTTTAGTCACTTCCAATGTGCGTACTCAAATGGCCTTATTAACAGTGTTTACGGTGTTCGTATAAATAGGCATTTACTTAGAAATCAAACCATGTGTGGTGGTCCAAGCCTTTAATTCCATCACTTTGGAGGTGGAGATAGGATGAACAATTTATGCTCGTCTTTGATGGATTGGAGAGCTCCTGGCCAGCCTGGCCTACACGAGAGGCCCTGCCTGCGTCCAAAAACAAGTACATAAAATAATAAGCGAGGCATCAGCACTCAGAAGTCTGAGCTGGGGAGATCTGAAGTTCAAGATGAACGGGCTAGGGCTACCTAGGGCGGTCTAGACCTGATGGAGTACATACATAGACTGCTTTGGGACAGGTCCCATGCACTCCATGTCAGCCTTCTAACTCCGTTTATAACAGACATGTGATGAGGGAGGTCCGCCTGTGTGCTGTGAGTGTATGCTTCTATTGGTTGATGAATAAAACTGTTTCAGCCAGTGAACGGGGTGTAGCCAGGCAGGAAGTATAGGCGGGGCTACCAGACTAGGAGAATTCTGGGAAGAAGACTGGAGAGTGGCTCTCAAGGAAAGCCACTGCTGAGTAACTACCAGGAAGGTAGGACTCCTGGACAGTCTCTGGTATTCCAAGACCACATGGAAATACACAGATTACTAGAAATGGGTTAATAATTGAGAGAGCTAGCCAATAAGAAGCCTGAGCCATCAGCTAAAAAGTTTGTAATTAATATGAGTTTCTGTGTGTTTATTTGGGACTAAACGGCCTCAGGACCAGACTGGGTGGGAGAGAAACTTTCACCTATGGACATGTTCATCATGCCTAGTTATAAATGAGTTTTTGTGCCTGGGAAGACATTCCAGCAGGTAAAATGCTTGCCTTACAAGAACAAGGACCAAATTCATCCCATTCTCCAAAAGTTAGGTATGGTGGCACACATTCCGAGCACAGCCAAGGCAAAGACAAGTGGATCCCTAAGGCCCCTGACCATCCCGCCTACCCTACTGCATAAGTTCTAGTCCAGGTAGAGACCGTTTCAAACAAAAAATAGAAAGTAGATGGCACTTGAGTGACAAGCTTGTAGACAGGTGCACACATGCAGATTTTATATACATATAATATAAACATATATAATATAGATATAAAGTCTCAGCTACTCAGGAGGCTGAGGCAACAGAAGGACTGATATCTTGAACTAAGGACTTCAGGACCAACCTGAACATCATAGCTATATCTCTCTTTCAAAAAAAAAAGAATAAATAAATAATAAAAGTCATGTACATAAATTAGCAAAAACCTGAACATTATGATTAAGTTCATTATACAGTATCTTGGGCATTGCATGCATGTTTTCAGACTTCCCACTGCAACAGTGGGAAGCATCTCAATCAGAATGCAGGGCCAACAGTTGCTGGCCTCCCTTCCCGTGGTTTCTCAGATAAGGCACTGAGTGTATCAGCTCATTTCTGATGCTCTTTGAAACACCCTACATTTTCTAGCCTGGTGTGTGGGTTCATCTGCCAGTTCCTCTCCAAAGCCAGAAAGTTTCCTTGCTAACGTTAGATGTCTAGTGCCTCACCTTGTGCCTGTGGGCTGCAACCCCCGTGATTGGTGACTGTGTTGGAGCTGCAGTTAGCAGGCTCCAAACTGCCAAAGGATTCAGTCTCTTCAGCTCCCACTAGGTTTCTGGCTTTTAGTTTTTTGACTCAGCCATTTCGAATCTTCTTAACATTCTTTTCTGAACACTAACTAGTGTGGCATTTAGAAGAAACACTGAGAATCAGTGTCTCAGAGTAAAGAGGGGGCATTCAGGGAACAAGGTTTTCAACTCCTCCTTGATTGCAAGCCATGCTCACATTTAACTTTTCTCGGGTCTGTAAGAAGATTCTGAATCCCCACTCTTTATTCCTCAGGTTCCTGTAAGCCTCAACTCCTCAAGGCATTTTGAAGACTATACAAATTAAAGGAGCTGTTCTCATTTGTTCTGCAAAGCCTGGGAATAGGGTCTAGATCTTGGCAGAGTGCTTGCTTAGTGTGAGGCCCTGGGTTGAATCCTCAGCGCTACACACACACACCCACACACACACAGGACATATGCGTGTGTGTACATATTGTGTGTGGGTGTGGGAAGGAGTGGAGGAGAGTGGATGTGTAGAGAGAGTGTGTGTTTTCATCTAGTGAATGCCTTCTTTGTACTTTACAGTTAGAGCAAATGCTAGCGTGCAAAGGTGGGAGAAAGGCCTCTCTCTGTTTGCAGTTGCTTACTTGCTTGAAAGAACCCAGAACTATGACTAAAAAGACAATAACAAGTGTCTGAGAGGAGGAAACTGGAGAACCCGGCATCACTGGCAGGGCGTCGGAATGCACTGTGGAGCTCAAAGCAGACAACGGGCAGTTCTTCAAGAAGTGAAAGAGCCATGTATGACTCAACAGCTCGCACGACACACGACGACGACGAGACACAGCCAGGAGAAGTGAAAGTGCACAATCACATGAGCGCTGGCACCAGAACAGCGGAGCAGTTCCATTCCGAAAGGAGGGAAAGCCCATGCCATGCGGGGCAGACGAAAGGCCAGTGCAGCTTATCCGTGGGATGAAACAGAAGAGATCGTTTGTGGGTGTTGACAGCATGAATGAACTTGTTAGAAGTGTCATGCTTGGAGGGCTGGAGAGATGGTGCCACGCCTCAATGCACTTGCTCCTCCAGAGGACTTGGGTTCAATTCCTAGCAACCACATGTTGGCTCACAGCCATCCTTAATCCACTCCCAGGGGATCCAACTCGTTCTTTTGGTCTCTGCTGGCCCCAGGCATGGACATGGTGTGCAGATAGACATATATACAGTCATGGGCATGGTGTGCAGATAGACATACAGACAGACATGGACACGGTGTGCAGATAGACATACATACAGACAGACATGGACACCGTGTGCAGATAGACATACAGACAGACATGGACACCGTGTGCAGATAGACATACAGACATGGACACCGTGTGCAGATAGACATACAGACAGACATGGACATGGTGTGAGTGGGCATGAGCGGTATCACACACGCACACACCCAGCCTGGGACAGCAATATGGCTTCGTGGGTAAAGGCGCTTGCCCCCAAGCCAGACAAGCTGAGTTGAATCCCCAGCCCCGAGTGGTGGAAGGAGAAACTGACTCCTACAGGCTGTCTTCTGACTCCCACATCTATGCAATGACACACATGCACACCCCCTACACAAACACAATCAATAAAACAGCTTTACAGAGCTGTTAGAAACACTATGCAATGAAAGAGCAGAGGGAAAAAAAATATCCTGCTAAGATGCCTGTTGCTCTGTGTGTTTAGGGTTGGGGGTGGGGCTAAAAAAAAAAAAAAAAAAAAAAAACAGCTTGGGAAGTTTGCTTTGGCTCATGCTCCCTGAGACTTAAGTCCAGGGTCACTGGGCCCAGTTGTTTTGGCCTGAGATGTCACAGTACATCATGAGGGTCCCAGCGAGAAGTTAAGGAAGACCATCAACCCAGCCTCCTAGAAACAAAGTAGGGAGGGGTACCCCACTGTCCCCTTCAAAGGCAAATAACGGAGCTTCTCTCCCAGGAGGGGTTGCTAATTAACATTAGGGTCTTTGGGGAAAACTAGGATCCAAACAATAGCCAGGCCTGGCGGCACAGGTGATCCCAGCTACTCAGGAGGCTGAGGCAGGAGGATCACAAGTTCAGGCCTGCTTGAGCTGCACAGCCAGTCCAAGGCGAGCCCCGGCAACTAGGCCAGAGCCCTCCTCAAAGTGAAAGTGAAAATGACTGAATAAGACCCATAGTAGAAAGCATGTCATACATAAATGAGGGTCAGAGTTTGATCTGCAGGACCACAAAAAGTAACTTGACGATCGTATGATCCATGGGCTATATCTGTGAAGTTCAAGGTTCAGGAAATTACAGGTCTATGTTTTGTGTTCAATGCATGCCACCTGAAAACAGAGGTTAGCAAACACAATTTCTGCCTTCAAGTTGGTCACAGTGTAGAAATTCTGACACGTTTCTGGGGTAGAATCTGTGCATTCATTTTGTTTTGTTTTTATTGACATTTTTTTATTTTGTCCCTGTGTATGCATGTGTATGTCGTGTGTGTGTGTGTGTGTGTGTGTGTGTGTGTGTGTGTGTGAGAGAGAGAGAGAGAGAGAGAGAGAGAGAGAGAGAGAGAGGTGCCTGTGTCTGTGTATGTCTGTGTTAGCTGTATACACGTACCATGGTGCATGAGACAGCCACTTACAAAAGAGAGTCAATTCTCTCCTCCTACCATGAGTCCCGGGGTTCAAACTCAGGTCATTAGTCTTGACAACGGATACTTGTACCACTGAGCATTTCAACAACCCAGGAAGTACTCCAGGAGATCCTCATATCTGTCAGAGTTGAAAGGTTAAGAGTTCTGTGTGCCCAACAGCCATCACAGGATGTGTGTTCTTAGAGAATGAGCATCAGGCCTGGGCACAGCTCAGTGGCAGAGCTTCTGCCTAGGAGGTAGGGGGACTTGGCTTCCATCTGGAGCACCAAATAATAATAATAATAACAATAAATGAATAAATGCAAGAAGTGCTGGAGAACACTGATAAAGGTTTCTACACAGAAAGCCTGATGGAAGTGGTATGGGAGGAACAGGAAAGAGCGTCAAAGGTCAGAATGTCCCCAAATGATCATGGTACCAGGGGCCAGAGAAAGCCTGGCAAACAAGACTCTGAGATGTCATGGCATGATCCCACCTTATCTGTTAGGAATGGGTGCTGGAAAGCAAGTTATTGGTGTTGGCTTATGGGGCTCTGTGAGCTACTCTTAAGTTGTTGAACTGCATTCTCTTTTTCTAATTTTTGTTTAATTTGTGACAAGGTTTCACGTGTCCCAGACTGGTCTTGACCTCATTGCGTATCTGAAGACAACTTTGAGCTTCTGATACACCTGTCTCTGTCTTCCAATGGCTGGGGTTACCTGTGTGCAATACCACATCTGGTCTTCTGCAGTGTTGGAGATCAAACTCAGAGATTCATGCATAGTCGACAAGCTCTCCATCAACTGAGCCACATCTCCAGCCCCAAGGAGAAGTGTTTTGTACTTGGTTGGGGTTTCTGTTTTCTTAGGGGACCTGGGAGTGGGGTGTTAAGACAGGTCTCACAGAGTCCTGGGTAGCCTCACTCTGTAGCAGAGCTTTATATGTAACAAAAGACAACTTTGAACTTAAGATTTTCCCGATGTATTTTTTCCATTAAGGTGACCATGGAAAGTCTCCATGTTTCTGAAAGAGAAAATTGACCTAAGTGTGAACTGTGGACGTAAGAGAAAGAGAATAGCAGTATAAATCAGCAACAGATGGAGAGAGCACAGGAAGAGGCTGGACTGGAGCCAGTAGGAAGACGGTCAACAAGAGCCATTTCTGGGCACACACAGTCTTGTGTCATTAGCAGTTTGTAGGCTCTCATTAAATGTCTGGTGAACAAATGTCCTGAAAAGCAGAGCAAGAAGGAGGAGGTGTTGATGACGATTCTCAAGTCGCTGATTGAAATGACCATGGTGTTGTCCAAGAAGGAGCAAACAGCTTCATTGGGTACATTAATTGATAAATCTGGATGTATTTAGTCATTCAAATTTTTAGAAACAAAACACAGATGCTGCCATACACTAACACTTGTGTAATTATTTACAGAGATGTTTGAGATTCAAAGCCATGAATACCGCTCTGAAGTACAGTTATCACCATAACATATAATAAATAATAGTGAAAAAAGTGAAGGTCTCCTTCAAATTTCTGCTTTGTGCTGAACAGCTCTCATTTTAATACAGCGCTACACTTCTATGACCTGCACTGACAGTGAGCTTGCTTTGGTGGGGTGTTTAGAGACATCAGGAGTAAACACCTTTTTTCCCCTGCCCGAATGCAGAACCGAGTGTGTGGGGAGGCATAGAGGTCATCTGATTCACTCCGAAAGTCTAACTCTGTCAGCAGGACAGGGATCTTAATGATGTTTGACTCCAAAAGAAAGTTGCAGCCATCTGACCACCAGCTATGGCATCCCAAAAGAAAAGATGGCCAGAGTATAGACTAGGGTAAGCCTCTGCAGACAGATTGAGAAAAGAGAACTAGAGATTCCAGATTTCTCCTTCTACATGTCTCAGGCCAATGGAACGTGAAAGGAAAGAGGAATCATGAGTGTCCGTCACCTAAACATCCCACTCAGAAACCTGAACCACAGGGAATAAGTGGCCCACCACATATCAGGCCATTATAATATGAGGGGTTATGAAGGGAAAGCTCCCATCTTGTACTGATGACTCCCTCCCAAGCAAACCAAAGGCTCCTGATGCAAATGCGTGCCTTGACAAATTATAAATTACTAGTGTTGAAGGCTGAAATTATAATCTAGAGATCTTCTGTGGCTTTATTTTTCCACAAAACAGAGTCAGTGTTCCCATGGTCTCAACAGAAAAGACTGGTTTTATAGAGAGAAGGACAGAAGGAAACACAAACAGAACAGAAACAAATGGACTGGACGTTTCGGTCACTTTCTTTGTAAGATAAAGGGAGAGAGCGCAATGGAAAGTCATTGGCAAGTTAATATCAGATGACTCAGGGTTACCTTTGCTTGTGTAAGAATGAAGGCACAGGGATCAGGGAAATGCAAATTTAAACAGTTTTGAGATTTCATCTTCAGTCAGAATGTCCAAGATCAATAAAACGTGTGGCAACTCATGCTGTCGAGGATCTGGAGCAGAGGGAACACCCATCCGTCACTGGTGGGTGTGCAAACTTGTACAGCCACTATGGAAATCAGTGTGGAGGTTCCTCGGAGTAGATCTATCTCAAGACCCAGCTATACCATTTGTCTTAGTTAGGTTGACATTGCTGTGAGAGGACACCATGACCACGGCTTCTCTTGCAAAGGAGAACATTCAATTGGCTGGCTTACAGTTCAGAAGCTCAGTCCATTATCATCATGGCGGGACATAGTGATGTGTGGGCAGACACGGGGCTGGAGAAGGAGCTGACAGTTCTACACCTTGCAGGCAACAGGAAGTGCACTGAGTGTTCCACTGAGAGACGCTGGAGCAAAAGAGACCTCAAAGTCCACCCCCGCCCCCGTGACACACTTCCTCCAAACACTTCCTCCAACAAAGCCACACCTCCTAATAGTACCGCCTCCTTTGGGGGCCATTTTCTTTCAAACCACCACACCACTCTTGGGCATCTACCCAAAGGACTCTGCATCAAACGGCAGAGACACCTGCCTCATCCATGATCACTGCCAATTCATATTAGCCAGAAATTGGAAAAAACAGAGATGTTATCAACAGATGATTGGATGAAGAAAATGTGGTACATTTACACAATGGAATAGTATTCTGCTGTTAAAAAATAACATCGTGACGAGACAGAGAAGCGTGTGTAAGATGAGTTTCGTGAAGGCGTCTTGGCAGTATCAGGTCTCTAGGGTCTCAGAAAGTAATGGGCTCTCATCGTAGATCTCATGACCTACTGTAGTGGAAAACGTCACTGTCAAGCCATTTTGTCTCTATACTGGTCAGCAGCTGAAGCACACTCCTGCTCATTAGTGTCTCTTTGATTTAAGGGACTTTTCTGGCTGTGGGCCTGTGGTGATATTTTGTTTATTCTGTAACAAATAAAGCTTGTCCTAAGATCGGAGTACAAAGCTACCCACACTAGGAAGCCTAGAGACCAGGAAGTAGTGGCACACACCTTTAATCCCAGCGCTCGGGAGACAGAGGCAGACGGATCTCTGTGAGTTTAGGCTACCCTGGGCTACACGAGAGTGAATCGGTCTAAAAGAGTAGCAGAGCTCACGCCTTTAATCCCAGCGCTAGAGAGCATATAAGGGGGAGGAGCTCACTGCAGTCTGAGTAGCAATGCAGTGGGGAGCAGTCTGAGGTTGGGTGGTCACCCCTTAAGTCTGAGCACTGGTAGAGGTGAGAACTCTCTAAGGGCTGGCCACTTTGCTTCTCCCATCTTCAGCCTTAATGTCAATGTCTGTCTCTGGGTTTTTATTCTGCTACATGGACCCACATTTCAGTCAAAACACCTCAGCCTGTGACCAGTGATGGACTGGGAAGGGGTACATGAATACCCCATAACCTCCACCTCTCCTTTGGAATATTGTGTTCATCAGCGTTCCTGTTACCCTACTGCTCAACACCACCACCCCCTTGCGCTGGGTTGTTCCTTTCTCTGTCTCACCTCCCGGCTCCCTCCCAGTATTCCATGGGGTTAAGGACATATAAAAGAAAGAGAAAATTAGTTAAAGGGAAAGTTAGTTGGAGACAGTTGTGAGCTGTCATATGGGTGCTGGAAATTGAACCAGGGTCCTCTGGAAGAGCAACCATGCTCTTAACTGCTGAGCCATCTCTCCGGACCCCAAGGCATATTTCTCAGGTGTAGAGACGTTTCCAGTAAGAATGTTAAGATAGCGATGAGCTCTGCCTACGACCTAAATGTATATAAACTTCAAAATATGGCTGTGGTGGTTTGAAAAAGAATAACCCTCATAGACTTAGAGTTTTGAATGCTTGGTCACCAGGCAGTAGCACTATTTGAAAGGATTAGGAGACGTGGCCTTGTTAGAGGAAGTGTGTCAGTGGGGGCAGGGAAGCCAGTCCCAATTTTTCTGTTCCTGCTGTCTGTGGCTCCAGGTGACAACTCTCAGCTACCAGGCCTACCTGTGTGCCACCCATGCTCCCACCATGAGGATAATGGACCAAGTCTCTGAAATAGTAAGCAAGAAATAAATATATATATATATATATATATATATATATATATATATATACCTATCTAACTGTGATAGTTTGAATGTTATTGACCCCTATTAGTTCATGAGGAGAGGCAATATTAAGAGATGACTCTGTTGGAATAGGTATGGTCTTGTTGGAGGAAGTACATTTCTGTGGAGGAGGCAGACTTGTCATACGTGGAACACACACACACACACACACACACACACACACACACACACACTCCCAGACTACTTCCTGTTGCCTTTGGGTCAAGTCCTTGGATGTAAGGACTCTCAGCTCCCTCTCAGGCACCATGTCTGCCTGCGCGCCATGATGTCACACCCATGATGACAATGGACTAAACCTCTGAAAATGTAAGCCACTCCAATTAAATGTGTTTTCTTTGTAAGAGCTGCCATGTTTATGGTGTCTCTTCACAGCCATAGAACACTAAGACGGTGGCATTACACCTTTCTAGCTGGGAAAATTTCCACTTTCTGGAAGTCTTTCAAGCGAGACTGTAAACAGTCATGTCCAATCTGTACAAAGGTAGCTATGGATGCAGCTTGTGCTGTCTAAGCTCAATTGAATACAACCTTGCAGCATTTAGAATGACTGTGGAAATAAACATGGGAGCATTCTGTGAGAGAGTTTCTAGACTGAGTTAACTGAGGTGGGAAAACCTACCCCTCTGGGCTCAGTACCACTCCAGGCCTTCATTGCTCTCTGCTTCCTGACTGTGGCTTTGAAGTGGCTAGATGGCCAGGCTTCCTACCACCATCGCAATGCCCCTGCCATGATGGAACTGTGAGACAAAATCAACTTCCCTCTCTTTTAAGTTGCTTTGGCAGGTATTTTGTCCAGAAAATAACTGACAACCCAACACAAATTGGTGAACTTCCTTAAAGCACCTTAAAGGTTTTCTTTTTTCCTTTTTTTGGTATCTTGACTGTGATTCTCAAGAGTAAGCTTTGTTGATGACAATATTGGGTCACAATATCAGAAGGTTGAACTTTATTCACAGTTTTTTTTTTTAAAGTGTCCTAATCCCTTATGCAGCCCTCATGACCTATGGTTTTTCCTTATCAACTGTAATCTGTTCTATGCATGTCAAGAACCATTCAATGATCTCATTTTCCAAAACAAGTGTGCCTGCTCAGGATGTCTCTAGCAAGCCTTTGGGATGTACTTCAGAAGCCAGGGAAAGCTTAGATGTACCTGCTGCAAAGACACTTAGGCATGACTGTGAGAAGCCCACACCCATGGCCTGACTCTCACGAGAGGCCCACACCCATGCTCTTGGGTATGCACACCATTCCCTGAGGTTTTTTTTTTTTCTTTCTATAAGACCCATGGTTAAATCCATCTTTTCTTAGTAAATTCCAGCTGACTCATGCTGAAATTCCTTTTCATGATGCAGTCAACAACATGGGCTACTACAGGCGACAGCATTGAACTTTGCTGGACCATTGCCCACTGTCACTAACAGGATCACTCCCAAAGTAACTACTTGTATTCCAATATTTGTCTCAGGGTCTGCTATCATGGAAAGCTAAACTAAGATACCTACGAAAAAAATTTCCTAATTTCTGGAACATACATTCCTTGCATCTAGTAAAATCCTGATACCATAAACCCCTGGGCTGTTCAAAAAGACAGCACCATCCATATAGGACTTTAGATTGCTGAGTTTGTTTATTGTGTATGTGTGTGCGCACACGTGTACATGCATGCAAGCATCAGTGACACAGGTGTAGAGAGCAGAGGACGACTTACATCTCTTCTTCCATCGTGTGGCTGATGGTTTGAAAAAAAAGGCCCCCAAAGGGAGTGGCACTATTGGGGTGTGTGGCTTTGTTGGAGCAGGTGTGGTCCTGTTAGAGGAAGTGTGTCACTGTGGAAGTGGGCTTTGAGGTCTCATGTATGCCCACTCTTAGACCACTTCCTGTTGCCTGCTGATCAAAATGTAGGACTCTCAGCTCCGGCACCATGTCTGCCTGCAGGCTGCCATGTCCCACCAGGATGATAATGGACTGAATCTCTGAACTGTAAGCCAGCCAATGAAATGTTCTCCTTTATAAGAATTGCCATGGTCATGGTGATGTTGTCTCTTCACAGCTGTGGAAACTCTAAGACAATGTGGGTCTCAGGAATTATACTTTAGACATCAGACACGGAGGCAACTGCCTTTATCTGCTTGAGCTATTTCTCCCACCCCACATAAGGATTTTAAAGACTGGAAATGTAGCCTGTCCCAACATAGCTGTACCATAAGTAATAAAGTAGCTTGACCCAACATAGTATTAAATACAGAAGTATTAAATACAAGATGATTTTAAACCAATAGAGAATTTTTGGTGAATTTCTTTTTAATAGTTTGATGCATGTTAAGTATGTTTTTCAATGCGGTATTTTGCTGTTTTGTTCGTACTGCTCATGCAATTTTATCCCACCACTATAACTGCAAACACATAATAATTTTCAAAAAATATTTTAAGTGTTATCTAAAAATTCCCTTGTAAATAGATCATAACTTACTTAAAAGAGTCTATAGTTTGTGTAGATAATTTTAATTTCTAGTATATGTAAGATAACATACATAATACCAAGCAAATCTATGTTTTCTAGGTTTTTAAGACTTTACTTATTTACATCCCAATTGCAGCCTCCACTGCCACCCTCAACCCCCCTCCCCCACGGGGGCCCATATCCACTGAGAAGGGGCCAGGCCTCCCATGGGCATCAGCAAAGCAGGCTCAGCAAGCAGCCTTAAGACCAAGCTCCTCCCCTGCATTCAGGCTGGGCAGGGCATCCACATGAGGAATAGGTTCCCAAGAGCAGCCAAAGCACCAGGGACACCCCTGCCAGGAGCCCCACAGACAGACCAAGCTACATGACTCTCAGGTATATGCAGAATATGCAGAGGGCCCGAGAGAGAAATGTTTGTAATACCTCACTAATGATTTTTTTACACTGACTGTAGGTTTACATGACAACATTTAGACACATTTATTTAAAAAAAAAATCTTACTAAAATTTAAAATGACAGGTTTGGCTGATTTTATCTGCGTGTATCTAGGTATGTGTACCACATGCATGCAATGCCCATTCATGGGGGTGGAAGAAGGCATTAGATCCACTGGAGCCTGAGTTACACACGCTTGTGAGCCACCAGGTGGGTGTTGGGAACTGAACTGGTCCTTTGGAAGAGCAACCCATGCTCCTAACTGCTGAGTCATCTCTGCAGCTCAGGTTTGGCTCTTTTCTTTTCTTTCTTTTTTTTTTGGTTTTTTGAGACAGGGTTTCTCTGTATGGTTTGGAGGCTGTCCTTGAACTTGCTCTTGTAGACCAGGCTGGTCTCGAACTCACAGAGACCCACCTGCCTCTGCCTCCCGAGTGCTGGGATTAAAGGCGTGCGCTGCCAGCACCCGGCTTGGTTCATTTTCTATTTCAAGAGACAGCACTGTCTGTGGGTGACCTCTGGGTGACCTCTGACACCACTCATTTCACACTCCGGAGTGTAGGTCATGTGATGAGGCGAACCCTGAACCCCTGAACGCTTTCTAACTCACGCGAAGTCATCCCTAGATTTCAACACTGTGTTATTCATACCCCGTCACTGTTACACGTGGCCCGCTTGGCCCTGCTCAGAGCCACTGGCCTCATGCACGGAGCAGAAATGCACTCCTAAAATCCAGTTTGGGCCAGTTGTTTGGTTACCCTAAAAATAAGACACTATTGCAATGTTGATGTTTTCCTTTGCGTTTTCAGGAAAACCGGCTCACCACTGAGATCTAGGCGCTGCTAACGGGCACCGAAGGAGTCCTCAGAAAGGGGAAACACAAACAGATGCAGCCCCTGCTTTTAGAAGGCTCACGGGAAACGGGAAACCAGAGCA